AAAAAAAACTTTATATACATTATTCCCAACCTTTCTCCTTCCTATAGTACTTGGAAACTCTCCTATCTATACATTACCATCTCTCTTCTGGCCTTTGTCATTTCGCATGTGTCATTGGAATAACAGATATCTAAAATTATAAAATCTTTCTTCATGAAATATACCAATCCCCCTACCCCACCACAAAGTTGGAACTTGAAATAGTTGATGCATTTTGCGCATCCACAAATTAGCTTACTAATATTCACCATGGAGTTTTCAGAAAAGAAGTGTCCAGACTCCAGAGGTTTGGACAAATTATAAGGAAAAGAACTGATTTTCGCAATTTAATAAACTAGCACTGGTGATAATCCTTTCTTGTATTTGTCTGTAAGAAAAATAAAAAGATAGCAGAGCTTTCATAGATGCAGTCGAGCTTTCAATTCATTTTTTTAAGGGCTGAAAGTTAAATACTTTTATTTTTTTGGTTTCTCTCACGACACTTGGGGAGAAGTGTTTGTGTACCTATGAAAGGATCATGTATAGGTTTTTAAGTCAAATGCAACTAAGGAAGTGGAGCGATAGTAGAATTAGAAGAGAGTTCTAGTATCGTAATTATGTATTACGCTACTCACGCGCGGCCATTTATTTAGTAAAAGAGTTTTGAGAAAAGTAAGATGTTTCTTGAATGTAATTTTGCTTAAATCGTTTACACTTTAAATTTTGTGTTACTACATAAATTCGCACCCTTGCACTCCTCGCACACTTCAATTGTAAATATTATTTATAGACATAGTTGGAATTGGTTTTTAATTTAATATACTATGGATAAAATATTAATACAAATTGTAAAAAAAATTTGCTCTCGCTAGAAATTTCTTCGAGGCTCGAAGAAACAAATCAAAAAGAGCAAATCCAAGTAGGAATCGCTATATGGGACCCAATGCACTGGGAATCTTATATAAAAAAGGTTTTGGACCCAAAACCCGTGATAGAGCACAATAGCACACAATCCCATAACTAGCTCAACTAAATATTTTACATGATGATTGGAGATAAAAATGCCACGCATTCAGGATTAGTTCAATTAAAAAAATATTATAAAAAATTGTTAATTTACAAGTACGCGACACGTTTCATATGTTGTAGTAAAAGTTATATTATTAAAATAAAACTTTATTGTTCTTCACAAAAATGTCAATAAAGTAATAATTAGTTTGAAATAGTAATTCTATTGTTTGAAATGTCAATAAAGTAATAATTCTATATTTATTTGTCGGAAAAATGCTACAAGTAAATAATAAATGTACATATAGGTGTACAGAACACTCACATGCAGTAGAATCTACTTGATTTTTTATTATTAGTAGAACCCATTTATGTGAGTGTTATGTATACCTTTATATATAATATTATGTATCTATAACATTACTCTATTTGTCGAAGCTATAAGTCTATCTTCTCAAACTATACATCAGTCACTTGTTTGATAAAAACAAATTTCATTGTTTACAATGGCTAAAGTCGAACCTAGAGAAGGAGAACTTAACCGTTGAAAACTGACGTTCGGGCTGGCGGCCCCTACCTATCGTAATAAGTGAACTACAGTCATAAAATCGAGCTATGGGTAATGTTAATAAGGCCCATATCGGCGCATCGTGAAATTATAGTAATTTATTTATATTTATTATTATTTATAAATTATAAGATATATTATACAAAATATATTAATTAATAATTTAATCTGAGTATAACCACTCAAATGGAAAAAGTTCAAACAGTTAGTAACATAAAAAATATTTCTAATACATATGGCATTATTAATCTTAATAATGTCGTGTACTAAATCCAGTTTACAGTCAGTGGTTTGATCATTATGAATTGTTATGACATGTTTGTCAATTACAAAATTCAATGATTAATTTATATTATTAAATCCCGAGATACATACATATAAGAAGAGACAATATTAATTTGTGAGGAGAAAAATAGCACGCAAACAAAAGAAATATGGTGTATGAAAATACTTAATATAATTGTTTGCACTATTTATTTATTTATTTATTTATTTTTTGTGTATAATTTATTTTAGATTAGATACACCTATGCATTGTACAGACACTAGTTTATGCATGGAGGGATGCGTTGATATATTTCTTGGCTGTACTAAAGCCAATAAAAAATCTTTATTTTCATTCATTTTCGACATGAACTCAAACAGTCTCCATTGCCAAACTTTCCTATAAAACTTATTCTTTGATATGAAACGTCAGGTAGANAAAAAAAACACTCAACACACAACTTGCTAAAACTTTCAGTAGAAAATAAAATCAACTACACGATACATTATCAGCAAACAAATCCCTCAAATTCCCATCATATACAAGAATGCCGAACGAAACTAATCAAAACACTACACACCCCAACACATTTTCAAAAGATTTTTCGATGCATGACAATAAGTAAAATAGAGGCACAAAAAGTTGAGAGATTCAACAGTCGTCTTACCCAATGAAAAGTTTTCTAAGGGGTCCATCCTTTCGATCCTTGGTGGTTGACTCGGTCAAAGCTAGGATGCGCCGTATGCCCGTTGTGGCCGCGCCACGCCCGAGCGCAGCTGCCCGTGCCACTATTTCTTCCTTCAGTGGGATGATGCCAGCTGGCGTGGATAGATTATTGCTACTACTACTATTATTGTTATTGGCTAATGCGGGTGTACCTGAGAGAGTAGAAGTGGGTGCAAAAACGGGCTTTATTGAATGTTGGTAGGTCCCGGCTCCACGTTTGTTATAATCATCGAGTATGCTTTGCTGCTCGGTTCTTTTGAGGCCCTAAATACACCAAAGGAAAAGATGAATACAACAGCTAAAATAATAATAAATGGGGGGCAAACAATTGTACTAACGATCAAAAGAGAGAGGGAGAGAGAAGAAAAAAAAAGGGGCCATAATTTGTATTATTATTTCAATTTTTGTAAAGAAAAAATCAATTCAACAAGTTTGGGATGGGTATCACAAACCTTTAGATCTAAAATCCTTTGGAACTCAGAAGGAGTACCCTCAGGCAACAGGGCACAGTATGTATCTGCCACTGAGTCAATTGGGGACAAAATGACCTGTGTAACATTAACAGAATTTTTAAGTTTTAACCACGGCAAGGCAATTTAAAAAGAAAGGGAAAATAAAATAGAGTACAAAACACGTTTATTTGAGCCTCTAACGCTAAGTGGAAGGCATCATACCTTTAGCAATGCTTCAGCTTTGCTCATTTCACTGCTTACAAACTTTGAGTAGCCTGCAGCCGCAGATACCTATTGAGAGAAACAATTAAATAAGATATATTTGTTTCATCTCATAATAGAAGGGCAACCTTATAAAAATATTAAATTTTAAATTCGAAAAGACTCGAAATGAATCGCGTCATTTCTTTTGGCTATTGTTTTCGACCGGACTATATATATTTTAGTTATATTATTCAAACCTAAGTTTGTCGAGAAAAGCATTACTGTAGAGCAGTGATAATCTGTATATGTGAGGAACACAATAAAATTGTTGGAATGCAAAAATGAATAATGTATTTTATCGAGATGTGGACTTTCTTTAGTGCGTATCTAAGGCGATAACCAAAATTCCTATCGTATGTGCATAAAACAACTATTAAGGTTCTAACTGTATTCCGGAAAATTATCGGGTGAAGTCGTGAATGTTTAAACCGTGAAATTCGATTATTAACGCTTCTAAAAGGGATGTTTTGCTACACTCTTCTATTGGAGTTGCCATCTAACCTGTTTTCCAAGGGAAGGAATCTCTAGAAGTATTGTTTTTACAGCCTGTGTGTCCAACAACATCTGCAGGTAGAAAATATCGACTTTTAATACTTACAAAAAGAACGCCAATCAAAATCAATCAAGGGCATGTTCACTTACACGAACTAAAATTTGCAATACATGAGCCAAACCGTGGAATATAACCAATTAAATTAATATACGCAAATTTTTTTTTCAGAAAACACGGTGTTTGAGTAACAAATACTTGTTGTGCTCCCGTTTCTGATATCTGCTTGCACTTGAATATATTGTGGTAGAAGCGCGGCCCAAGAGATGATGCAAGCTGCAAGCATTGGTAAAATCATACGCAATAAGTTCCGAATACTGATGTCGATGTGCATGGATCAATTTTCGTGCAACATCTATTTTTTTCTTACAATCGAAATTTTATGACAGGGTCCCAAACTCCAAACCATATAGCGAACCATCTAGAACACTAGTTTACCATATTACTTTTCGTAATCCAATACCAAGAAATAAAATCTGAACAATGAAGATTAAACAACAGAGTTTTTAATGGATTCTGTGCCACTGCAATAGAAACAAATCCAATAAATAACTTTAGAATAAATTTGAAAACCACTTTGGTTTACTAATAAGCAATGTTGGTGGTCGTGCTTATCTCTTTAACATTGAACCTGCTAATGCTATTGGGAAATGTAAAAGCATGTTTTCAGCTAATAAAGTGAAAACCTCCCTGTATACTATTTGACCAATGAGCAACACAATGAGTTCACAAACATTATAATTCACCTTATCAAGAAAAAACTGGAAATATATAGGAGAAAGAAGCCTCCCAAGTACAGGAACGCTAGCAGTCAGTATTGTGTTTATGGCGTTCACATATCTGCAGGAAATAACAATAAGGTTAGCATACAGAAAGACATGGAAAAAATTATCAGTATCACTTATTAATCAAGGCATCTTACTCAGACTGGTCACCAACACTTTCAAGAGTTCCCCAAGGAACACGTGTCATTGCAACCATTTCAGCATCAAATTTAGTTTCTATACCATGCACAAGAGTCACCAAAGCTTTTGTTACAACTGCTGAGAACTCATCCTGCAAGATGCATCAGCTTTATGAAGGCACAAAAATAGGGAAGGGATATATAGATGTATACACATGCACGCACACACACACACACACATCTATACATATATATACATATATAGAGAGAGGGGGGAAAAGAGAGAATTTATTTACCTGTACTTCAGACATGTCAATCCTATCTGCATATTGATGATCAACGATTTTGGACACATTTTCAGCCAATTCACCCGACTGATAACACAGATAGTTATAAGTGGATAAAGAGTGGTGGAAGAAAGGATTACAAGAAAAAAAAAGAGGTAGAAAATGGAAATATTCGTTCTTCAAATTAAGTACTACTATTTTTTTGTTATTTTTGTTGAGCCATTTTTCTGTGCCTTCTACATATTAAAAGCAATTTGCGATGTGGCTAAAACTACAAAAGTAATCTAATTATTGCAGTTAAATGAAGCATTATAAAAAACAAACCGTCTTATGGCAATATTCGGCTGTGTTAACAATGTAACAGATCAGGCGTTCATCCTTGTCAGACGTCTGCAGGAAACAGTAAAGTCACTGGAAGCACACAAGAAATCACAGTACGGCCAAACTGACAACACAGCCAAGATAAGCAATATAAAGCTACCTTGATTTGACCATCCATTCCTGTGGCCGCGGCTACAATTCCTGTCCCACCCTTCGGAAGTCGTGCGAAAAGCTTTGTAGCATATGCTTTAAGAATTCTTTGAAACACCTATTTTACACAGTAATGGAGCCTTAAAAGATGTACAACGGGGCTAAATGTTTGAATGCGGATTTCTATTTCCAGTCAGAGGAAGTAAAATGTGAATACAATTGATTTTAAGAACCTATTTGCAGAATCCGGTGGTTCCAAAAATTGCCTAATTAATCAAACCATGAAAAGTCAGATATCTTCAGACATTTGGTTCATTCAAATCAAAATAAGCAAGAGTAAGGCAAAAATATTGCTTCTGAGTTGATGTCACTTGAGAATACATTTAGAAGTTCAGAGTCCTTGATATATGAATAGCCTTCCAAACTCCATATAACAAGAGAATGTTAAACATTTCAATACAATACGAAGTTTGAAGAACTATTACACTGTATTCAAATTTTTATTTCTCACTCTCATATACAGGGTCACCAAATCTGACAAGATGCACCAGATCCAATAAGATGGTGCTCACAAATATCCTTGGTTATATTAAATCTAAATAAAATTAAGAAGTACATTAAGCACTTTCTGTTTCACGCGGAGAACTTGGAAGGATTTCAATCGCAACCACCCATGCCCAAATTAATTCCTCACATAACTTCTCTAAAATTATGCATGAATACACATATATTAAGAAAAAGAATCAACTTCACTTTTCTCCTCTTTGTTTTTTCTTCTTTTTCATTGCTCGGCTTGATAAGCAGGAGAACCAATGCAGGCATTGCAATAAAGATATAACAATTCTCAGTATTCTTAAAAATAATCTTACATCTGCAGATTATTCAACTAATGCCAACAAAATATAAACAATTGGACGGTATCGGCATCAAAGTATAACATCAACCAAGATTTTCAACGTGATGAGTATGCTATGTAAACGAAAGATAGTGCGGCTGCACATGGAAATGGTTTTACTAGCAATTTCCTTTTTCAACTAGTAATTTGTGTTTAATTTTTTTTTATTTGTAACAGAAAATGACATCGTGGTCCACAGGCAATATAAGGATTAAACTTGATTGTTATTATAAACATTGTGATAAGATTTATGAGAGAAAAGTAGAAAATGGATGAATAGTATACTTTCTAAAAAAATTTTACACAAGGTATGGCAACGAAATCTTGATAAAGCACCTTGAACAGATTGAACAATGTCTGATTTTTCGTCAAAGCACTGCATCTTTTTAAGCTCCTCCGGATAATCAAAAAGACCTTCACAAAACAACCAAGAATTTAGTACAAGTATTATAAGACTGAGTTCAATGAAACGCTAGAACAGGGAAATGCAGTGCGACAAGCTATAGCATACAAGTAGTCTCAAAGTTTAACATTTATAGTGCAATTATCAAGACACTTCACGGTAAAGGTATTTCTCACATTCCAGGGGAATACTAAATCCTTTTCATAAAAGAATCAAAATTGACCAAGAAAAAGACTGTTATTTACGAATTAACAAAAGTACCAATCACAGCATTTTCTTATCCATAGTTAATTCATGTCACCTGAAAAATGTCTTGTCTGTTCAGTAACATTTGTCATTCCATAAATTAAATTGAATTGTAGGAATAGTAAAAAGGAGCAAGTCCAGAAAATGCTGAACAAGAGTATGAGATAGGCAATGGAAATTCTGAATTTTCTGATGATGACCAGTTCTAAAGTAGTGGATATTAAACTATTTTTCTTCAAAATTAATAGAAAAGTGCGTTCAGTACTTGGATGTATCAATAAAAATCTTATGGCTAGTACTAATGTTTAATTTTTTATAATCCTAGGCCAGATTCACATATCCTACTTTCAAAACCATGTAACATAAATGGCCACTTGAAGGAAAACAATATAAGTCAACTTAAAGAACTTGAAGTAACATGTTAAATGTTCCATAAAGTTTAGTTTAAAAAATGAATTCATAATACAGAGTAACATCTGCAGTGGGGTGTAAAACGTAATCACCTCTTACCTTAAACGATATAAGATTATTCCTTAACAATTTCTTTTAATAACAAAGACAATAAGTCAATAATAGCAAGATGCAAACACACACATCCAAATTGACCTATGTACTTGTTTACCTGCATACTGCTAGATAAAATATTAGTTTGACTTCCCTCTTCAATCTCCCATGCTTCTTCCTGTAGTGAGATATAAAATCATCTTAGACAACGTCGAAAAATCATTCACTCCATGTTTAAACACCAACATCCAACAAAGAATCAGAATGACTCGAACCTGGACAAGTTTCTCCAAATGCTCCATAAGTGTCTTCTCTTCCAGTTCCACATACACAGCCAGGTAAGGCTCAAAACATGATGAAATGATCCCTCTAAAATTGAACTGCCAGGTAAATCATAGCAGTCAACACAACAAAATAAGCACCTACATTTTCAGGTTCACATCTAAATGAAAACCAAGCTTCACTCCATATAAATAAAATAGATGATAAGAATGTTCAAATTGACAGACTGCCAAGTTGCTGCTTGATCAAAATGACAGATTGCCATGTTGCTGCTTGTTACAACCCAAACTTGAAAAGCAGTTTAAAACCTAACAATTTCAATCAATTTGACCATGAAGCAATATACCTCTATAAAGGGGAAAGATAAATCATATCTAAAAATTGGTTATCTTAGGTAACCAACACATGGTGAAAGTTATCCAAGTGATGGTAAAAAGAAACAACTGTCTCTGGCTATAAAAATAAATTAGTCACAATGGAAAATACTGATGACAGAAGTTACCCCAGCACCAGGCACCGACAAATCTTTGTTGGCTTCTTGATCCTGTAAAGGAAAATAAATATGAAATGAAGGAGTAGCAATATTTCACCATATAAGTAGCATCCATTATCACTTCATAGTACTAAGTAGTATCTATCAACAAACTTAAGCAATTTCAAGTTTACGCATACCTCATTCTCATTTTCATGATGCGCAGCAAGTTTTTTTTCATATTTCTTTCGAATGTCTGAAACAGTCTGGTTGTTATCAACCATATCTTCCCCAACATCACTTCCTGATTCTCTGCTTCGACTCCCACCACCAAATTTCTCTGCTAGTTCTTCCTCAAACTCCAGAGTCCTCTGCAATGCCTACAAGTTGAAAGACCACATATGAAGGATATCTCCAAAAACAAATTTATTAATCGGAGAATAATCAAATTTGAAATGGAAATGAATAGATCTATGCACCATAGGCAGAAATCACCGCACACTATGCAACATACAAAATATACAGACCTCAAACTTCTACGGGCTCGTCAAAGTTTCAAGATAATGACTATAATTGATAGTGTTAGAAGTTATGTTTGTTCCATATATCCATTTAGTTACTGGGATGTTATTGTGTATATATGTGGGTTGAGCACCCTCTCCCTCTGAGCTAGCTTTTGGGGATGAGTTCTACCCAAGCCTATTTTATCATTATGGTAATAGAGCACCCAGGTTTTGTTTATTTGAAGGCGATGTTGGGTTTGGACCGGCCCATTTAGTCTTGGCACGTTGCGCATGAGGGCGGATATTAAGAGTTATGTTTGTTCCACATCGATTAGCTACTGGGCTGCTATTGCTTATAAGTGTGGGTTGGCACCCTCTCCCTTTGAGCTACCTTTTGGGATGAGTCCTACCCAAGCCCATTTATCAGATAGATATCGGTATTTCCTTCAATATCTTAATGAGGTACACCTCAACAGGCTACATACAAAAAATTAACTGCAACTTCTATTCCTGGATTAAACTGGAGATGTAAAGTCAAGAGTAAAAGAAATTTCAAGCATAAAATATAAACATTGCATCATTTTAAGATGACATATGAGCTATAGATATTGTTATATGGCTAAATCTAATGAGATACATATATAAATCAGCATCATCATGAGATACATGTATAAACACTCCGAGCAGAGGATAAGTACAAGGCTAAAAACAGAAGGCATAGGAGGCATGAAGGCATCAAGATATTCCTCCTGATACATTAATATGCAAAATCACTGCTGTATCTGAAGATTTTATTAGCACTTGTATGGTTTATGCAATTAAATCAACTTAAGAACTCCTTCATGTAACATGGTGTTTGAAAGAAACTTACCGTCAATAATGTGCCAACGTCTGGCTTTTCTTTAAGACTGTTGAGGATGTCTTCAAGTTGTGTTCTGGATATAAGAAAACCAATATAATCACTGTACTGTAAAGAGCTTCTTGCGAGATATCAGAAATGCAAAACTTGGAGAGATTTTATTGTTCATATTGTTAAAGATCCAGCATAACAAACACTGAACAAAACCCTATATTAGTAAGGCTTGTATGAAAACATCAGATTCTGTACAAGCAGAAAATTAGATTATCCAGTTCTAAACCACACAGAAGATCAAAAAGAGATGGTCTTTCAGTAGGTTGAAGCTATACATATGGTCTGCCACACATGTTTGACCATTGAACTTAAACGGGGCATAAATCACCAACCTTGTCAACTTGCAGAATTGGATGCACAGTAGATATGAAACATGCCATGAAGATGGGAAAATTTTCCATATCTCCTCATTGGTTCTTAGTCGGCGCTTGATCCAACCATATCTTCTCTCTGTTTTGTCCAGCTTTGCCAATTCTGTAGATGAAGAACAGAACCCAGATTACTAACATGTGGGAAATACTGAAAGCAATTACCAAACCTATAAAGTAGAACAATGAAATTAGACAAACCAGCTCCCTCAAAAATTTGTTGATATGAAGTCAGTTCCCTGCTGCAAAAGTTCTTCACTAATTCTTCTCTTACTGATGGCTCCAAGGCATCAACAACTAAGCATGCATCCGAAAGCTGCTGAAGCAAATTACTTTCTTCAGTCTCCTTCCCTGTGCCTAAGCTGTGGAGAGAAGAAGTCAGCACAATTTGGGAATATCAAAGAAGAAAGTCACCAAGAAGCCCTTCAATCAAATCTTAATTTGGGAATAAGTCATTCGACCAATTTAACATTAGTCAAATTCAAACTCAAGCCCGAAGGAGACCCAAATGGCGAAGTCCATCTTTGAAGATCCAAATCCAAGTCCAAAGAAGAGAAGAATAAGAGGAGATCACAAATAGAGATTTTATGTTTTTTTTTTTTGCTTAAAGACCTGAGGGAAAGAAAGGGAAAGAAAGGTCATCTCCAGATAACTATGATACAACAAGTAGCTTTATCATTTCCTATTAAATTGCACCAGAATTTTTTGGCAAACATTCCCTTCTGGTCACGATGTTTAAGGGTCATCCTACTGGCACAATATAGAACTTGTCTACAGAAAAGAAAGAATTACAGATATCTATCAGTTAAGAGGGCTTTATTTGCACTCTTAAGTTTCTAGATTTTTAATAATGCTACTGATATGCGCAATAACGAAGACATAACAAAAAAAATGAAAGAAAATGCATCTCCACTTGTCCATTAAAGCATATTTAACTCCATTTATTGATGTCATAAAAGTTGTTGCAAGATTGGTTATATTATATAGTATCACAAATTCCAAGTTCTAACAATCTACTTTAACACAACCAATCAAAAAGAGTTCCACGGAAATAAAGTCAGAACATAACAAAATCATATTCATGAACAATGAGGTAAGTCTACAGTGACATACGTGATACTATACGATGACAACAATAAACTTTAGATTTCATGATAGATCCTGAAACTGTTTCATATTTTAACACACCTGGAGAAATCTGAAAACACGTGTGACTTCAGAATTTGTTTGATGCTCTTAAACTTCTCCCTCAGCTCTGTGATCTTCTGAAAATCTCTATAAGCTTCAAAATGGCTGCACAACTGGTTGACAGCCTAAAATGCAACCCCAAGACATGAATAATTTATCAGTCTAAACATGATCATATATCATGATCTAATATATCAATAATTTATCAGTTTAAACATGATCATATATCAGTAAAATTTATCACATAATGAGCCCAAGGTTACATGAAGGCGACAAATACTGAATTTAAATCTATTTTCAACAAGAAAAACAATAATATTCCTGTCCGTTTGGCATATATAACCTAAATTGTACATAACTAAGGGACATCAAATATATACTTTTCCATTAATCCACCCTACAAACAAGTCATAAACTATAAAGAGGCAACGGAGACCAACCATAAATAAATTGTAATAATTTTTACCATGACTAGTAGGAACAATCCACACATCTATAATGCTTGCATAATAGCTTTTTTATTGTTTGTAACAGNAGAAAGATTTGTAGGAATTAGTAAATATACCTTAAAGATTATTGATAACATTTATATTTCACTCCAATATTATACAATTATTCTAGCAAAAGGAAGTCTACCACCTTGATAACACTCAAGAGTAATTATAGATCGATTATATGCTCAGAACACCAAAAAAATATCAAATACAAAATGCGGACAATTGACTTTCTTTATCGAGATGAATTTCTAGACGAGAAAATGACTTGAGAAAAAGAATATCTGCATTTTCTATAAAGAAAAGAGACAACGGTTGAAGTTGAATTTATTTAACAGAATATCTCGTAACCAAATTTTCATATTTTAAGGGTACATACGTAACTACAAAACAAAAGTGATGCATAAAAGAAGTCAGTACAGTTTTAAATATACTTTTTTTCTAGACTTGTAAGAAAAATTAATCTAGCCCTACCCAGAGGTAAACCTTATAGGTGATACAATAGCACCATAATTACACAACTCTGCTTTCTCAAAGTTGGGGCTTCTGTTGTCTGCCTGAGTAATTAACTAAGAAAAAATATACTTTTATATGAAGTGAGACTCATTGTGTAATTCTCATGCAATTTTATGTAACTTAAACATCAATCACAAACTAAGAATAGAGCACGAGCTGTGTTTCAAAGGCAGTTACTAGAACTCCAAGTACTTAATTGGGCTCAATTAATATTGCTTATCCAAAAAATCAACCCTCTTAAAAACAGAGATTTTTTTTTTTTTTTTTATTTTAGTTAACTAATTGACATCAAGTCTTTAAATCATGTTCTTCTTGACTCTACTACTCTTGTCTGCATTCAGAAACGTTCTTCCAACAAATTCTCATAGTTGAACTATATATTCTGAATTTTTGTATTAACATTATTTCTAAGGTATACATGGTAAAATCTTCTTTTTGTGAGCCAAAACAGACCTAACTAATAGAAGCATACATAATACATTAGATCAAAATTCCTAACATAATTCTCACACATAATGCACAAGTCCTAAAAAGAACAAATTATTGGTTTGACCATTAGCTATGATTGATGTAGCTGAAATGCATGATTTGTAAACACGAAAAGAGTATAGAAAGGCTGCGAAATCTGTGCACGGCATGTAATACCTCGAGCTGGGCAGCTGCCTCCTTGTATTGTCTTTTTGAAGCCATTACTTGGAGCTGTTCCACAGCAGATACTGTTATACCAAAGAGAACGTTGCATTCATTTTCCTTATCAAATGATATTTAAAAGAAAATGATAACTTATGGTCCCATTTAAATGGTGTAACCCAAGGGCTTAGTCTGGTCGCATCTAAGCTAAAACAAGAGCTCAGACCAGAACACTACGAGAAATACAAAGAAATCCAATAACAAAAAAACAATGTAACATTCAACGAACTTTTAAGCACCATCGGTCCATCAAGAACTTTGAATGTCAAAACAGCAATCATAACAATCCTAATCTCTGTTAGAGCTCTTCAAGTTAGCTTTGATGAGCCAAAAGATGTTAGAGAAACAACAGGTTTTCTCCAACTACTGATACACCAAAACAGCAACATCTTATCAAATGCAGAGTGATACTTTGTTGCATGGTGCATCAAATGCAACATGTTCCTAGCATTAAGCCACTGGGTAAGCTGTACTTTCTATTGAAAAACAGAACTAGTTTAAGCCTAAACACTTCATAGGAATCCAAATCAAACTCCCCACAGAATCAAGAGTAGAAAGGCCAACCTAGCATAGTAAGACGGTGAAGGGCAGTAATTGTTGTAGTTATATGCTTCTTTGCAAAATCCAGTTTCTTAATGTCACGGCATATTTCCTGAACCATCGACTCGCTTTGCACTGCCTTGGTTTTTATTTCTTGCATTTTGTAAATGAGTTCCTAGTCCAAAGTGAAGATTAAATTAACAAAGCAGTAGCTGTACATAACAGTAAAATGCTTGGAAATGAAAGTGATGTATCACAATAGTGATTAACGGAAGCATGCAAAGTAAATCAAATTCTGCAAGTTAACTGATTTATCAGAAGAATGAGCGAACCTGAACTGCATGAGTAGCTGCGGCAAGCTCCTCCCTGGCCTTGCTTCCTGAATTGCTCTGTAAGATTATAAAGCCATCAACCAATTGTCATGATGGAGAAATATTGTTTACAAAAATATCTTCCTCCTGTAATGAAGTACTACATGGCATATCTAGAGTTTGTTTTCACTAATCGTAAACGAAATGAATTCTATATAAAAATAGATAATTGATTAACCTTCTGTAGTTCTGTCTCTGAGAAGCATTCGTACAGTGGATCCAAACATTATCCGTTATAATACAAATTATGTTTATATCTTAATAAGTATCTGTCCATTGCAAATGGTACTGGAAGAGTCGTTGTTGACAATTCTCCTGGCATAGTGCTAATAATGGACTAGATCAAAATGGCTCAATTAAATTCTAGTGCTTCTTCTATTAGTGAAGTTTCTAGAAAAAAAAATATATATATATCAAACGGCGCAATGCACCTTGGGTCGCTACGGAAACAACCTCCTTGTATAATTACAAGGGTAAGGTCTGCGTACAATTGACCCCCCCAGACCCCAACCTGTTGGGAATATACTGGGTATGTTGTTGTTGTTGTTGTTGTTGTTGTTGTTGATCTTAATAAATAAATAAAGATTAGACAAAATCATATTATCCTTAGACTCCAAGACTACTGAGGCTGTGTAATAAAAATTCTGCTTATAATTTGATGCAATCTTAATAAAATAAATAAAAATGATATGACAGAATCACCTCATGCGAAATGTCTAAATATTCTCCAAGAAACCTAATTCAATGCAATCAAATGAATTTCATAAAGTATGATAGTTTCAACTTTATACAGCTTCAAATGTCATAAAACAAACCTAAACAATACTCTAACTAACCTCATCGAATCTTCACGCTAGTCTTGGCTACTGAGCTTAAGCAACCTGAATTTGAACATTACGCTGATGGACATATGATAAATGGATTAAGCTCAATCTCAACTAAAATATTTACAAGCCTGACTAAGTCTGAAATTCAGCTCATGAACTCCTACACGTGTTCTTACATGGGTTATACACCTAATCCACAGCATCCAACTACAAACCTACCATGTTTCAGCTACAAACCGCAGATAAACAGTTACGTGAATGACGAATGTAGTGTCCAACAATTCACCAAATGACGCACAAAAATGAAGTCAAATGAAATTTGATACTTCAAACCAGTAGAAAACAATAAATAGAAATACTAACCTGCTGACGAACTGCTGTCAAAATCTCAGCATCTACTCTACGGATTTCACTACGTATCTTCTGCATAAGGGGCTCAACACCAGACAGAGAGGCCTCTGCAGGAAGACCAGTTTCCTCATTATCAGCATATATTAAAGACAGAGAGACAATATATGATGGCTGAAAATCACCAGAAAGACAATATCCCACCTATTTGATATGTGTACAAACATAAAATACACATTGTGTTGGTCTAGCTGTAAAATTGTTTCTCGTCATCCTTTTGAACCCCCAGAGATTCATTTCTTGTATTTGTTCAATTAAATGAGTAAATTTGAAGGGGAAGCAATCCAACAACATAAACTGGAGTTCACTTTCAACGAATGCTAATCAATTCTAATTCATTAATTCTCGGCACCAAACTTCTCCCAGCTATGCATGAAATTATATGGCATGCTATCGCATTTGAGCTTCAAGGAGACAGTACAAAACGAGATTTCCATTCACAGACATACTTTCAGGTAAATCTACACGACTACATAACTAAGAGCAAGAGTCCAACAAAATTCTGAAGCCAAGCAATTACAAATGCAGTCCAAAAACATCGACATCAGCATCTGAACATCCTAGAACATATAATTTGTGCACGCACCTGTGGGGAACATCTGGTTGATGTAATCCAAAGCACTCTGCTTATCTGTTGCCGCCATTGCTCGCGATCTAAATGCTAAAAACAGATTATAATTCGACTAATTAACAATCCACTGATAACAGCTCGCACTCAGTCAATGGATCTGAATCATGCACTTAAATTCACACTATGAATTAAAGAATCCCAGGAAAAATTGCATTAGAAATGAAATTTATGCTACCGCCTACCTGGTAACTATCAGTTGTATAACCAATCACTGTGATTCGATCGAAATTGGATATTGGAGACGAAATTCTTGCTTGAATTGCGACGGTCCGCATCAACCGGTGTTGGATTTGCTGATCAATTGATGGAGCTGTTTTTCATTTGTTTTCTTTTATCCGATATTTTCAGTTTTTAGTGTCGCTTCTTTCGTCACACGGTTTTATTCTTTTTGCTGCGTTTTCATTTGGTCCTTTAAGTAGACACGGCGTCGTTTAGTTGTTATGATACGACGCCGTTTTGTTCCTTGTTTTGTCGTTGCATGTAGACGTATAAATACATATACGTCCTTCACCTTCACGTGTTTTGTACGATTTTTAAGAGCTTGAATAATATCAGAAAATGGAGATATTTTCTCCCCAAAATTGAGCTTTCAATCTTTTCAACCGGTTTGGGTGGAGGATTCCAAATTTCTAATGGAACATTTTTTTAGTCTTTTAAATAGTAATCATAACGAATAGTGTTGTACTCGAATCAAACGAGCCGAGCTTGGATATTTCGAGTTCATGTTCGTTTAAGTTTGAATATTGTTCGTGTTAGTTTATTTATTTTTTAAGCGAAAAATCGTATTTGAGCTCGTTTGTTAATTGTTCGTCAAAGTTCGAGTTCGTTCATGTTCAAATAATTTATGACACAAATTTTTTAAATAAATTTGACTAACTCGGAATATGTCCTTTCGACCAAACTAAAAAAAAAAACATTAAAATATTTTTTTATTTTTGATTTTTTTCATAAAAAATATCTTGTAAATATACAATAAAACAAAATAAAATGGTATTAAGTTAATGTTTGCGAACATTATCGAACGTTCGCGAATGAGCTCGTATTCGTTCGATTATTAAACGAATCTAATTTTCTGTTCGAACTCAGCATGATTAACAAATGAACGAGTTATTGTCAAACACGAACGAGCTTGAACGAGCTTTTATTCGCGAACATTCGGTTCGTTAACACACTATAATGGACAAAACATCAGTATGCAGAACCAATCATTATAGCGGACGAACCATTGGTATGCGGTTCAACTGGTGTAACCGACTTTATTATCTATTTTACCAGTTTTAATAAATATTGATTTAATTCATTATTGTAATATAAAATATATAAAACCAACTTTAATAAATATAAAGTTGATTAAACAATGTAAACATATTAAAATAAAGTATAAAACTTTCAATTTATGCAAACAAACTAATAAAAATATATAAAACAAATTAAAAAAATCGCTACATCCGGTATTTTGCCGGTAATTTCCACTATGAAACCAGTATAAATTGGTATTTTGACTAAAATACTATTTATAGGGTTACAGTATAGACCGAAACATCGATAACCAATATTGCTGCTGGCCGACAAGTTACGATATTTATAACATTGGGTAAAATATAACAACGATCTCTATTTATGGAATTATGTGTTTTCTATATATATCTATATTTGTATATTACTAAAAAGAATAAACTTTAGAGATATACATAATAAAATTTGCCAAATATTAATACGTGGTTTAAAATTTTTGTATTCCTATTAAAAGTTTTTTTAAAAAAAAAAAAAAAACCTAGCATTGTATAATTTTTATAAAATATATAGATTGAATAATATGTCTAAATAACCTTAAATCAATTATAAATTAACTGTGTTTTGCATAAAATTATTACACATTATTTATATATATATATATACATATGTTCTGGGCCGGCCCTTTAAACAAAGAGATATGCCACTCACAAAAATATTGGGCCCCTGCCGATTTTGGCCCAAATTATGGAAAGAAGAAGCCCAAAAAGATTATCACATCCCGTCCTACGTTGATCTTGTCTCAAGATTGAGCGTCGATCCACCTGACAAACCCACTTTGTTGACTATTTGTTGATCTCTCTGTAGTATATGAACAAAAAACCAGAAAAGCAAACTGATAAAGCGCCCTGCCTAGCCGGTCTCATCATCAAAAGTCGAGTTTTTGCATGGGGACATGTGCCACTCCTCCACACCCTTAGTTGACACATGACCATCATTACGTTTCTACATTTTCCAGGTATAAATTCAGCCCTTCAGAATGGAAATCGAAATATCACTAAGGAAAAACTATTACATATTTCTTTTTCAATTCTTCTGCAGTTATCTTTTATGATGATCTCTTTATAGTAATTTACGATCTCTCTTTTGATATACTCCCCTTTTTTACTTGATCATTATTTGCATTCGAAAAATCCATTTAACACTCTCTTCAATGGTTACACTGTTACCTTTTAATCCTTTTAATGACGCTATAAATCTTTTTAATACGCTATAAATCTTTCAAATACCATCTTTTTGCTTCCTATCATCATATAAAACTTGAAATTACCTTTATCATTTTCTATGATTAGCTCATCTTCAACAAGAATATAGATCGATTAGCTCACTCTCAACAAAGTAATCGGTCCAAACATAAAAATGACTACTAAGTAGTCGGGGCCCCGACATTCTCTCTCAAGAACCGCTTCCCCATCCTGGTCCGACTTGCTCTCCTTATTAGAAGTCAGGTCCAGACGAACTCTTTTTCGAGCATAGACATCCTTGATGAAATATAGGGTCTTGTCACTCTCCAGTGTCCTCAAAACCCACTGAATACAGGCCGCCTGGCCCACCTCCAATAGTTATTTTTGGATATTTCAAACTTAATTATTTTATGATAAGAAGTAAATTAAAATCTATCCAAGCCAAATGATAAAACATGAAAATTTGTCTCATATGATCCCAACACATGCGAGCCTGTCATTTAGGTTCAACACATTCTAGAATTATATATAAGGGATAATCTGTACAACATAATTTTAAAATAGAGGACAAACTTTTTGTAGTATTTATTTATTTTTAAATTCAAATTAAAAATACAAGTGTTTTTATTTTTTCATTGTGGTTATTGATAAGTACTTGTTAATTGTATTTTCTATCTTACTAGAAAATATGGTATTTTTTACTTACTATGTATATGAGTTTTGGCTCCATAATAGAGCCAAGTGTTGGGTCCATAGCAAATCTGGAAGAATATATTCTCTTTCATATATATGCCACAGCTAATTGACTTGCCATTTCCCAGTTTTGGGCCGGTTCCGGAGGGTCCTGAACCAACCTAATAATATATACGGGGCAGTTCAAAGAACTGGCGGTTCTGGGCTAGTTCCAAAGGGTCCTGAACTGGCCCGATAATATGTACTTGTAGGGCTGGTATTTAACTCATTCAAAGGTATTTAACTCCAACCGTGATTATTATTTGTTAATACTAGTATTTGATCCTGTGTAAATGCACAGATATAAAACACGTTTTTGTTTGTATTTATTAATTAGACATGTAGTTCTATCATATAAAAATTATTACTTTTTCTTAAGTTATTTTTATCATTCAAAATTAATTGAGATTTAAATTTTATTTTAACCATGCAACGTTTACATTAGTAACATGAATAAAATAATTTATATATTTGTGGCATATATTAAGAAAATTAACATAAATAAAAAAATTATTGGTGTTTCTGCTTTTTAGAAAGAAAAAAAACATGTCAATCATATTTTTCTTCCAACAATGTAACCAAATATAGCGGTTACAGCTTTGAATGTGTCAATTAACTTTAAGTTTCAACATTAGCCGTTACACATTTGAATATTTTACTACTAAATTTAGAATTAATTTATTAACTGATCCAAAAAATAAATAATAAAAATATATATATTAAAGTGTAACGGTTTTAGCATATTAGTGAGTAATTAATTAAAAAAAATATAAATTCTTTTGGAGGAAAATAAAAATAAGTTTTATTAAATATTTTATTAAATACATCAGCTACTAATTATATATATATAGATTATAATGAACAAAATGAAATAAGAAATAAGATCAGAGAAACTTCCAATAAATGAATCCCGACATTATCATATTCGCGTTGATTTTAAACAAATGAACAATAGCTTCTTCCGAATACCTCAATACGACTATTTTATATTCTTATGATCCGCACTATACCTAAATCTACACGTAGCTCTTTCGTCTGCCCCAGCCTATTTCATCTAGTTCCGCTGAGAGCCTCTCCAAGCTAAACGCAATCTGCAGACACAAATCTTTGGTCAAACCGACACCCAAATGCAAACACAAATTGTGTTTGCTCAAATTTTTCTATTTAATAACACCCAAACACACAAACGCAAATTGGTTTTGCTCAAATTTTTTTACTGAAAGATTCATTTTGTTCTGCGTGGATGTTTGCCAAATTTTTTTTACTGAAAGATGCATTTTGTTTTTTTTTAAAAAAAAAAAGAAAAAATACTATAATCATCTTCAGAGATTGATATATCCGGGAATTAGTTTCAAAAAACTGCAAAAGTGTTTCACACATTGATACCGTATGTTTGAGGTTTCAAAAAAATCTTTAAAAAAAAAATTGCAAAATTGCGTGGCGTTTGATATATGGTAATGAGTTTTTCGGATCAATCATGATACTCGTACCAGATAGCTTTTCCGGTAGTGATGCTGAACTTTGAAAGCCATTAGCACCACTACTGATTATGGACGCCGCCACATGAGGATCGCTCTTCATCTCCTGCATCACGAAACAACTTTGTTCAATCCATGAATTGGTAAATATATGCATGCTCAAAGCTTTGGAAATCACTTCAGTCATGTTACGAAATCATTCCGTTAGTATGTTTTTTACCATGTGTATCTATCTAAATGCTAATAATAACCAACGAATCATTCTATAACGGGACTGTAGTAGTGATTCCCCAAAGGTTTTACTGTATAACGTATTTTGCTAATTTGAAATGCTAAATGGTACTCGTCAAGTCCCATAACAAACTTTCATAGATGACGAACCTTCTTTTCCGAAACACGACTATGGTTAGGAAGAAGAAAACAATGCCCCATCCTTTCCTCCCCAAACTCCCTCAACCGATTGAGCTCGGGCACCACGACCTTCCCAAGGTCCGGTCGATCCTTCCTTCTGAGCTCGGCACACCTCAGCGCCAGCCTGGCGAGTGCTAGCGCCTGTTCGGCGGGCCAGTCGGGCACTGACGGATCCAGCATCTCCGCCAGCCGCCCTTCCTCCACGGCCCGGCCCACATGGTGCGCAAGGCCCATTGGTGGCCGGGCCGTGAGGATCTGAAGAAGAACAATCCCGAGAGAGTAGACGTCGGATTTCACACCGAGCATGCCCGTCTGCTGGTACTCGGGATCGATGTAGCAAAAAGTGCCTGCAGCAGAGGTCATGCGGTATTGCGTGACTTCCTCGGCCACAGAGGGAGGGACGAGACGCGCGAGTCCGACATCGGAGATCTTGCTGACGAAGTTTCGGTCGAGGAGGATGTTGCCGGGCTTGAGGTCGCGGTGGACGAGGGGCTCGGGCTTTGTTTGGTGGAGGAAGTTGAGGCCCATTGAGATCTCGGAGGCGATGCGGAAGCGGATGGGCCAGGGGAGAGGGGGTTTGTTGTCCGAGCGGTGGATGAGACAGTCGTCGAGGCTGCCGTGGGACATGTGCTCNTCAAATTAGTAAGCTAGCTAAAATAAAAATTTCAATGGCTTATTCGAAAAGCTAGCTGATAAGCTTGAGATTTTTTTTAAAAAAAAAAAAAACTCGTCCTACCAAACCAAACTTAATTGAATACAGGAAGCTTACAAGCTAATCAAATAAACTATAGGCTAGCTTATATGCTTACCAAACACAACCTTCATATATTTTCACAAGGATTAAAAATTTGAGGAAATGACTTGCTCAAGTAGAGATGAATGTAGTTGGAAATCACAAGAAATAGAAATTAAAAGTTAATTAAGTTAAATGGAGAGAAGAAGAAGAAGAAGAAGAAGAAGAAAAAAAGCCAAATTAACGAGAAGCAGCTTCAGAAATTTGAAGAAATGTTACCCCTGCTTTTTTATGACTAAATCATGCAGAATTAAGTGTAAGCAAAAGCTGACTGGAAACTACTTTATTCATCCAAAAACTTGCAAAAATAAAAGAATTCTTCTCACCTCTTGCTGAAATTGTGATCTACCTTGAGCAGCATCCGGCCGCAACACCTTAACGGCAACAGCCGTATGATCAAGATAACACTTATACACAGGACCATAACTGCCTTCTCCGATTTTGCGCGACTGAGTAAAATTCTCAGTGGCCTCCTCAATTTCTACAATGCTGTACCGTCTATACCTCAACGGGAACACACTATCCTTGTTGTCAGACTCCGCAAGGGTCCGTTTTTCGATGCCTACTCTATTTCGGGACTCAATCTCCGCAATTCTCTGAGCCACCTTAGCATTCTCCATGGCTGCTTTGTACTTGGCTTTCTCTTGTTCGGCTGCCAGACGAGCGGCCTCCTCTGCCATCCGAGCTTCTTCTAACCTCTGTTCTTCTTCTATTCTCCACCGGTGAAGCTCAACCGCCTGTGGACTTGAGCTTAATTGACATTTATTAAGTTAAAATATCATATAACTTTGAACTTTTTTTTTTTTTTTTTGGAAAAAAAAAAAAAAGTGGAATATTGTTCTGATCATTGTACCTTCTGCTTTGCTGATAGAGCTTCCTTGCATGCTGTGCTGTACATTTCCATGGTTTTCTGCAGCTCGAGCTTTAGTCTTCTCATTTCAGCTTCCGCATCATCCTACGTTTTTTTCCCCAATCAACTTTGCTAGTAAATATCATTCTAAAGTCATCTTCGTTTTTCTCTTTTCTTGTTTCAACTGCTCAATGCTCATACGAGCGCATTTGTAATTTGAAAAAAGAAAAAGAAAATCAAGGGTGTATATTGTATTGTAATTGTTATGCATCCTACAAATAAATTTATTTAATTACATTTTCGAGCGACGAAGTCGAAAAAGCAGTGAACGAGCTCATGTCGCTGAGCTTAGTCCCATGGCAAGCGGATGACCCCAAACTACTCTCAGAGCTTATCGACACTCTCGAAGTGCGAGCCGAATCCAAGCCATCTAAGAATGTGGGCCCCATTTCCATCATCATTGCCCTATCAGTACTCGGGCGGTCGGAGCTTATGAAAGATATATCTGTATCTGTTTCGGACATGTCAAACATGCTTGCATTGTACCCTCTCGCCATAAACGGCGACCTGTTGTCAGAACATGAATGCTTCACATCTAAGTATCACACCAAGAGAAAATAAAATAAAAGAGTAATATTTAATTAATGCAAATTCATATACAATAGATGAGACCTACCTGAGTAAATCGGACTCATCAACGCCACTCTTACGTGGGGTCGATCTTCCCGAGCCTGTTCGAGAAATTTCACGTGCTTTTAGCGTTTGTCTCGCTGGATCAAACATGAAAAATAAGATGTAGGAATTTTTAGAAGGAAAAAAAAAAAAGAAATCTAAACATTGAAAGTTGCCAGAATTTACACATTACACCCCTTAACTTCCCAAATATTACANTTAATATATGTAAAAAAAAAAAAAAGAAGACAAAACCTTTCATGCTAGGCCTGTTCTTGGGCTGGCGGTTAGGTGGCGGATTATTAGTGCTGGCTTCCTGCTGCATTTGCTGTATTTGACTCATGAGAGGGGACGTGAAAGGGGCTATTCGATATGCGTTCCGAACGGATGAAATTTTTGATTTTGAGATTACATAAACGGTGCAGAAGTCAGGTGCTGCTTTAGATACACTGCTCGGGACATCCACAGTCTTAAACCTTCTGCTAGTACACAACACAGCAGTCAGCATTCACAGTTACTCATCACATAATAGAATGTTTGGCGCCAAAATAATTTCCTTTGATAATTCCAAAGATTTAATATACGTTTTTTGTTTAATTACAAAGTAATCTAGGATATTATTTTACATAAGAGTGTTTTAACCTGATAAAGCCATGACGGGATGAGCCAAGAACCAAGTTCTCGATAGCAGCCTGGGCAACATAGTCTGTTATTGCTTTTGAAATATCAACGTCCTCCAATACCACATCAAAGCACAGTATCTGATATAAAAAATTGCCAGGAAAAATGAGGGGAAAAGAACAAAAATGCCTAACAAACAGATTATTTATATATTCAACTGCCAGACCATAAGGATAGAAAGAAAGGAGAGCCAATATAAGAATATTATTTCGGCTCACATCTTTACGAGTACAAAAGCAATGATAGGTGAGGAACAGCTCTTTGGTCTGCTTATCAAGTATTTGCTTGTCTGAACCAGCAGCTCCATTAACACCACAATTAATGGAATAGGCGTGGCAATCTGCATAATTGTTTTTTCATGATATGCAAAAAAATAAGCCGAACGAGACTAAAAATCCTTTTATGTTTAATAGCATCATTATTAGTGTAAGTTTTATCTGTGCCTGTACTCGAACTTGAGCATGTACGCATTAAAAAAAATAGTGTTCTTCTAGGTACCTTTAAAATGCTTTCTCATTACTTCAAAATCTCATGTTAAAGCCAATCTTCATTTAAATCACCCACAAAGAATCTCATATAACCCTCTCTGCTTTAAATTCACCGAATAAACGTCGTTATTGTACTCATAACAAGAAACTGGTGTAAACAAACATCCATCCTTTCCCCATAACTCATAACCAACTTTCCGAACATGTCACCCAATATCAAAAAATAAATAACTACACAAACATGACATCAAGAAATTTAGGATTTGAAAAAGGAAAATATATGAAACGACATGAAAACGTGCACAAAACTAGTACAACCCATGCATCGAACTATGTTCACGTATATACGAACCGGGCTTCTGAAGGACGTGAATGAGAATGACAATTTGGGCCTTGGAAAGGAGATTGTCGATGGCCCATTTGATCGCATGTTGGCTTGCTTTGTCATTGTCCACGGCAACAGCAACGAGCCCATTGCGGCCTCCCTTTTTCCCCAATGTACTACCTTTTGCATTTGGAAGCCACATTTTGTCGAACACAAAACGTGCACTTCAGGGATCTCTGTTTTTTGTATATGTTATGATATATACAGAGTCCCTTTCTTCCCCACCCTTTTTCTTCTTCTGTTTCTTGGGTTTTTGTTTGGTATAGATTGGTGTGCTTGAAATTCCGTTAGGTTGAGATATGTGAGGGGACATTTTAAGGAGAAACAAGTAAAGGGTGCCCCTGAAATCTCTCAATCTTCTTTTGATAGTAAAGGAAAGTAGAGGAACAAAAAAGGCTGATGGTCTAAAATCAATTGTCCAGAATGTGGCAAGACGAAAAGAAAAATTGCATCAAAAACTGAATTTTAAGAAGGTTCGTGCATGGACTTCAGTTTTAAAAAGGTGATGATTTGATCAGCTATGCCGAGTTTATTATATGATATCGATGTAATTCATGATCCTATGTCAATTTCTCATAATTTAGAATTGATCTAAACTTTTATCCATTTAGGCGTCATTTAAAGTTATCATATACTTTATTAATTTAAATAATAAATATATATATATATCAAATGATGACTATTTTTGTAATTATTAGAGCATCTCCAATGTGGCTTTTGACATTATAAAAATTCATCTATATCATCAATTTTTGAAAGTGTGTTACTAATTTATTGCATCTTGTCATGAGCTCTTTCATGATGAGGTGGATATCATTTAATGTTGACAATGTTGAACATACTTTCTAAAATATAACACCATGTTAAACATGATGACTAAGGGGGTGATTGGATACAAATTGTACAGTAAAAAAACCAATCAAAACTCAAATTTAACTCAACTTTAACTCAACTCCATTATCTTCAATATTATCAATATAATTAAATAATATCAACCAATCATTCTTACATATCACATCAAGTTTAATTTACTATTCATCTACTCACATAATTTTAACTAACTATTACTTCCAATCATTTTCTCCTACTTTTACATCAAATCAACTTTAATTATTTTATTTTAAATATTATTTTAATATATCCACTAACAACTAACCATACCACCTTTTTCCAAACTTAACTATAGTTACAAAATAACTAGTTTTTTACTAGTTGAATTCATATCCAATCACCCCCTAATTAATTCACTTTATATTTGATTTAATTTTTTATTGTTCTTGTATTAATGATTATTTTAATTGGTCCACCTATACAAATAACTTTTTATCAAATTGATGCATTGGAGATACTAATTTGATTCAAATTTCTACTCTTTTAACATTATTCCTACATGGATTCACATTACAATAGTTGATTGACATGTGTCAAAAATAATTATCTTTCAAAGCTATAACATTGGAGATGCTCTTATAAGTGATTCATAAATGATAATCAAATTAATTATACCTAAACGAGTTTGACATCCTTATTTTAAATATAAAAAATAGTTATATTTATCTTTAAAATTTAAATTATTTATTAATATTAATTAATTATATTTTATTTATATAACTTTATCTACCAAAGTCAATTAGAAAAATTACTATAACATAGCATGGGTAAGTTGTATTATTGACAAGAAACATGTGAAACTTAAACAATTTGAGTATAATATTTAATTAGCATCCATATAATACATGCAGTGACGGGGCCATTCATGGACTAGGATGGACTTCAGCCTTGAATAAAATAAAAAATAAAAAAGTAATAATTTACATTTTAAGTTATTGTTGTCATATAACTCCGTATAATTTTATGCTTAGCCCACATCATATATTTGAATTTGAATCAAATTGAAAAAACCATACTCATTTTAGGGAATCGAGAATAACACGGTTATCCTCGACCTAGTTGGCTAGGCTTCAATATTTCCCCCAATATCTCAACAATTTTTTTTGCTAAATTTCATTTTCAAAGCTAAATTACATTCTCGCAAAAAAAACTCTTCAATCTGGTGGCTAATTATCGCTCCAAAAGATGCACCTATGGCCATCCACGAAGCTGAGGGACTCTTTCAAGATCAATTACTTGAAGAAATTGGAATGGAATCTCTACCGTATGAACACTGAACAGCAGCAGCAGCAGCAAAACCAGTCTAATGGCAATAAGCAGCAGCTTTTGGAAAATAACAAAACTGATTCGGAAAAACCAGAACATTTAAAGATTGGTCAGATTTGCGGAGAAGTTTTCATGATTTTATCTTGCTGTTACTGTTGTTTTTGCTGTGGAGGTAACCATTTTCTTTGTTAATTTTTCGCTATTTCTGTGTGTAATAATTCAGAATCTTTAAGGTTTTTCTTGGGGAGAAAATTGGTATTTTTTTTATTTTATTTTTTTGGAGAAAATTGGTATTATAGTAAAGGAATAGAATGATAAATGTGCCCTTTTGAATTCACTTAGACAGAGAGAGATCCTTTTATTAATTTTGGATTATGTTTGCCAATTGCTCTGTGTTATTGGATGTTTATAATTATTAAGAGGAAAAAGAGAAAGTAATGAAAAGAAGTGTGTGTGTGGATGATATGTTATTTTTTGAAGGGGTTTTGGTAAAGTTAACTATCTTGTTCTGCATGAATTTGTCTGAGAAATTATTTCTTGAATTTCAGCTTGCGTTGATGATGAATAATGCTGCTGAAAAAACATCGAGGAAGAGCACTAATGGAGCTTTGAAATGTGCAAAAGTAGATGGTAAAGGAATCATCTGTTGAAAACATTTTATGTTTGTAGTTTTTATTAGGTAAAAATTAGATTCTTAGATTTTCTCAGCTGATGGTAATGACAACTCTCAATGGATTTTGGTATGTTGTTTAGGGTGTGTTTGCAAGCTCTAGCTCAGCCTCTAGGTAGAGAAAAAAAAATACTTGTTTTTCCACATTAAAAAGCTGAGAGTAGATTCTCTTTACCCTTTAGATATGAGGTAGAAATCACATTTTTATATTAGGGGTTGATTGTTTATGGATTCAAGTAATTTTTATTTGGTATGTTTTTAACTATAGTTAATTTTGAAAAAAAATAGTATGGTTAGTTGTTAGTGGATATATTAAAATAATATTTAAATAAAATAATTAAAGTTGATTTGATATAAAGTAGGAGAAAAATTATTAGAAGTGATGGTTAGTTAAAATTATGTGAGTGGATGAATAATGAATTAAAGTTGATATGTTTTGTAAGAATGATTGGTTGATATTATTTAATTATATTGATAATATTGGAGATAGTGAGATGAGTTAAAGTTGAGTTAAATTTGAGTTTTAATTGATATTTTTACTGTAGAAACTATATCCAATCGCCCCCTATTACACAGTAACAGTGGGAAGGAAGTTTAAATACCTAAGAAACTATGATGTACTGGATCAAAACATATATCAACCAGTTCAACATCTTTCATAGTTTCAACTTATTTGTCAATGCTGAGTGGGATCGAGTCAAATAGGTTGGATGATTTATCTATTTTACAGTTACTATTTTTGAAGTGATAAATAATACCATTCATATTTTATAGTTTGATACAAAATTTTAGATATACTAGTTAATTTAGCCACTTTCCTATCAAAATTTTTGACGTTAAAACAACTCTTCTAAAATAATATAATATAAGTAAATAAGTATTTTAGGAAAACTTAAAATGTATAAAAAGAACTAAAATAACTAAATATATTTGAATAGAGTTATTGAAAAAGAGATTCTACAATAATCTAAAAATAAAACCCAAATAACACTATGTCTATATCTCTATATATATTACTTTTGCTTGTCGGGGTCCTCGGATCCGGCTATGGCCGAGGTAAGAGATGCTCTGCCATCCCGCATGTTGCCCTTGGGTGGGTGGGGATCTGCGCCGACTCTTGTCGCGTCGCCTTCCCTCTGGCCAGGTTTGGGCTGCTGCTTTGCCATTCCATCTCCTATCTTGTGTCGGTCGGTCGGAGGTCGATCACTTGGCCTCCGTTCGTCGAAATCTTTTATGTAGGCAACTCCAGGTTGGCCCAGCGCTGCGGGTGGGTCCCCCTCTGATTGCTCGAGTTTGGGTTCTTTCGGCGCCCCAACCTCTTCGGGCCTCTTCTTCTATTGTATGACAATTTCGAGAGCTCAGATCTGGACTGAGGTTCTTTCTAGCCGTTGTTTTCAGTTGGAATTTCAGAGTACTGGGGTTGTTTTTGTAGCTTTTGTGGTTTTGTTCGTGGGGTTCGTTTGTTGTGGTTATGACTTGTGTGTTGGGTTGTGTTTTTGTTGTAGGTTGCTCGCGTGGATTGGGGGAAAGTAGTATTCTATAGTTAGCTTAGATATGTGTTTTGTTAGTTAGAGTGTTGTTCCCTGTTGGTTGGAATTAGATATTCTTCACTTGTTGGAGTAGATGGTCTCTTCTTGTTATGTGGTGGATTAGGTGTCCAGCATATCGATTTCAGTGAACCTCGTCGCTGCCGAATGTTTGGATCATTCTTCTTTGTGGTTTAATTTTAGTTTAGGACACTTCTATTAGTATTCCTCCTTCAGCCCACCTTTTGGTGGATTTGGAAGACTAGTTAGCTTCCAAGCTTCATCTTGTAATACTATCGTTCTAGGGAAAAAGAAGTGTTAAACCTCATGAAGACATAATTGAATTATCTAACCAGGGTCTCAATTTCCTTCATAACCAACAGTTCGGTAACGACTAGTCAAACCGTTGATCACCCGTGTAGGCTGTAGCAGCATAGTTCAAAATCTTGAACATTGTCCTAAAAAAAAAGATCATGACACATTGTGCCTAACAAATTAACTCGCTAATCGCAAGTTGTGTGCACGAATGAAATCAAATTAATGAAATACACTACTCTTTAGTAATTGAATTTATAAAATAAATTATTTCAAATAATCGTTCCTTATACACTACACCTAGGACTACATTTAGGTCCGCAAACGAGCAGAGTCGAGCTCGAGCTTAGGGTGCTCAAGCTCTTATTGAGTCAAGCTCGACTTGTAATATAAACAAGCTTAAAATTAAGTTCAAGCTCGGTTCGTTTATAACTAATAACGAGTCGAGTGCAAATTTTAATGAGCCGATCTCAAACTTTAATTAAACTGAGCCGATCTCAAACTTTAATTAAACGAGCTAGCCAAACTGCTTTAATTTAACAGCACTAACTATAACTACAGGCAAGCATCCTTCCAACGACAAAGCAATAAGTAATATTAAATGCAACGATATTTTCACCGTCCAACTACTCCAACTACTCTCTCTCACTCACTCACACACACACAATAAGGCACAAAATATCCGCACAACCAAAGCCAAACCAAACAAAACGCCATGTCCAAGTACAAGCACCCCATTGCAGAGGCCAGCGACTCGAGCCTCTTCGGCTCCCTCACTCCGGATGAATTCTACGCCCACCACGCCGTGAACCACGGATCCGACTACATCACCAGCAGCGGCAAACAAAGCCTCAAGCTCTTCACCCAGTGGTGGTCCCCGCGGGACCAGTCCGCGCCCCTCAGGGGCATCGTCTGCGTGGTCCACGGCTTCACCGGCGAGTCCAGCTGGTTCGTCCAGCTCACAGCCGTGCTCGTGGCTAAGCACGGCTTCGCGGTCTGCGCCATCGACCATATGGGCCACGGCTACTCGGAGGGGCTCGTCGCCCACTTACCGGACATCAGTCTCGTCGTCGACGACTGCATCTCCTTCTTCAATAGCTTCCGGGCGAGGTACGCGGCGGATCTGCCGGCGTTCCTGTACTCGGAGTCGCTGGGCGGGGCGATTGCGCTGCTAATCACGCTTCGGCGCGAGGGGATTCTGCCGGAGAGGAGGTTCGACGGCGTCGTTTTGAACGGGGCGATGTGTGGGATCAGCGATAAGTTCAAGCCGCCGTGGCCGTTGGAGCACTTCCTCTCGATTGCGGCGTTTCTGATTCCTACCTGGTGCGTGGTGCCCACGCGCGGCTCCATACCCAACGTCTCCTTCAAGGTAAATTTTCTTTTCTGTTTTTTCTTCTTATTGTGCTCTCTTTTACATGTGTTGTGAAAAAAATTACTTGTACCAGAATTTTGTAAGAATTTTGAGAAAATTGTGTTTGTTTGAAATTATATTATATTTTCAAATACTTTAAGGAACAAAAGTATAGCTGCCCCAATATAATTCATCTATTGATTTGATATAAGTTTGTGTTTCGTATTCTATATGTATAATTTTAGAATTATTTCTCATTTGTGTTTGTGTGTGTGTGTTTGCAAAATTCCAATTAGCATTTATTGTTGGTATCCAATTTTTCATTTCCCGGATTTTAATTCCCAGCAGCTGTTATCCATGAGCAGATGGCAATTATAAGGTCAAATATATAACAATGGTGCAAAATGTACATTGAAATCTTAACCCATTTTTTGAATGTGGATTTAAAAAAAAAAAAAAAAAACAAGGTTGAATGGAAGCGTAAACTGGCCCTAGCAAGCCCGAGGAGGCCCGTGCAGAGGCCACGTGCAGCCACGGCTCAGGAGCTGCTGAGGGTTTGCCGGGAGGTGCAGGATAAGTTTGGTGAGGTTGAGGTCCCTTTCCTGATTGTGCACGGGGGAGATGACATTGTGTGCGACCCCGCATGTGCGGAGGATCTCTATCGCCGGGCCGCTAGCAAGGATAAAACGCTGAGGATGTATCCCGGGATGTGGCACCAGCTGGTGGGGGAGCCCGACGAGAATGTGGAGCTCGTTTTTAGTGAGGTTGTCGAGTGGCTTCTGGCCAGAGCCCGCTCAAAGTAGTAACTAATATTTTACTTACTGTCGGTTTGGTTTGGTTTGGTTTGGTTTGGTTTGGTTTGGTTTGGTGAAAGATGAATGGATGTATTTTGATGATTACATGGATACATTGGTGTTTAACTGTGTTTATTTTTCTCAACCCAATAAAAACTAAGTATGATGGATCGGGAAATTTATATATAAAAAACAAAAAATACACAAGTGGACACAAATAAAAGCAAAAAAAAAAATCTGGACCAAAATCAAAAACACGTATTCTGAGAATACGTTTTCTTTACAAATTATCATTGGAAAACGTATTCTCAGAATACGTGTTTCAATGAAAAACGTATTATGTAAATACGTTTTTCAATTAAAATTACAAAAAAAACGTATTCTCAGAATACGTGCTTTTTATTTATTTTCACAAGATTTTTTTTTGTTTTGTTCTTGTCCACTTCATTTTTTCTTTTTTTTTTAAGTTAAAAAATCATGATGGATCATCTAATTCCATTCTAAGAGAGAATGACTCGATAGAATAATGTTTGAAGTGCCCTTTTGACTTTGACCGTGGGAAAATATTTTATGGAGTTTTTTTATTTTTTTTAAGAAAAGGGAGATATGTAGAAAAACATTCGAAGTGCCCGTTTGAGTTTGACAAGCAGGAAAATATACTCTGGAGTTTTTTTTTTTTTTTTTGAAGGAAAAGGAGATGTAGAAATTTTTGGATCTGGGTGATTAAATAATCGGTTGAGTCACCAAGTTAATATCTAAACTAGATAATTAATTTTATATATATATATATATATAATTTTATATCTCAAAATCATAACATTATACACGACCATAAATACTTGACACAAATAAATGCACATAATTTTAAGTTTGAAATTCAAATATCTAAAAAATTTACTTAATAAATAAATAAAACTGGCGCGTCAGCTAAGTTGACCTAATTGGGCCAATGACCAAATTGATCAAGTTATGGTTGGGTTGAACGTGTTTTGACTGGGTCATTACATGTTTTACCAGTGTGATTGCAAACCGGTCCAAATAACCAACCTCGATAAGGTGCTGGGCCAATCCAGGTAAGAAAACATTGCATACAAAAATCAAGTGCATCTCAAGATAAGATATGCATAAATTTCCATATTCAAATCGAATGAAGTCAAATTACACTACATAGATGTAAGTGTGGTCTAAACTCTAATGTGCCGAGCAGGGGAAAGTAGATTCAGACCTATGTAAATGAATATTACTTATAAAACAGCTAGAAACTTCAAATGAAATCTCAAAATGGAAGTTTTACAAGCTTCACACACATTCTATATGCACCTTGGAATATACATAACAAGACTAGCAATATCCCAAGTTCTTAGCTTTACATAAAGTTCACTTGCTCCAGAACTTAACAAAATAAATACATAACCATCTCATGCAAGCAAACCACATCTCTTGAACATCCATTACATACTTTCAAAACTAGTTATAAAATAAATATATATAATAATTAGTTAACTTCACTCGATCTCCTTTTTCGGCACAACACAAGACACGTCTGAGCTTTTCCCGGCTCGTTCAGTTGTGCTCCCGTCATCCAAAGCCACTCGCGCCATGTCATCATTTTCCGACATGTTGTCTCCCGCCCTATCTCCTAATCGATCATCTATCTCGTTGATGTCATCAGACGCGGTGCTGATGTCATCATCATCGTCACCAGTCATACCACCAGAGGCAAAATTCTTCAGATGCATGTTATAACGAAGGAACACCATATCAGTCATCTTTTTCCTTTCTTCTTTGCTCGAGCCCTTTGTGAAGAGTCTCTCGGCTAAGCTTCTCTCGAGCTGAAATTTTGATGCCCCTTGGCAGGTTTGGCCTAGGATTCGGATGGCCAACCTCTGTAGTTCAGGGCAATCTGAGCCATAGTCGGACCACCACTCCACTGCAAGAGATAAAATTATATATATTAATATATTATGCAAATTTTCTTTTTCTTTTTCTTTTTTTTTTAAAAAAAAAAGAAAGGGTTAATATAATTAATCACAGGGAAAAAAATCTGTAGCAAAACTCATATCTAGATTAGTTTTCGAGAATAAATGTCTTTTTCGAAGGTTTAAATTATTGTCATTCTTGAATAATTGGCCCTTCCCCATGGGACATCTTCACGGAAACAATGCTAATGCTTATGAGAGGTTTGCTAGAGAAAAAACATTTCGGGTGAGTGATGAATACTGTATTAGCCAACTATGTTCCTTTAACTATTAACAAAACTTTCCAAGGGACCAATATCTAATTAAGTAATTATACATGTAAGTACGCATCTGAAAATCAAGTAAAATAAATCCATGAAAATATGTTAAAAAAAAGAAAACATTGAGATCAAATCACTTTGTGCTTAAAAACAGAGTTCAGGAGATTCTGTCACGTTAGCAATAATCATGAAAAAAATGATGCTATGCAGTGGTTCTTCTATCCAAGTTAATTTCTCAAAATTCCATAGAATCACATCATTAAGACATCAAATAAGCACC